AGGACTCTGGGAGCCTGCAGGCTCCCGGATTTATTTCAGGAGCTGAGCCAGCACACTGCAGCCGTGCCTTTCTGGAGACCCCGACGATGCCTCAACGCACAGGCCACCAGCAGACAGCTCTCCTGGAAGCCTGTGGATCAACCAGCAAGAATGCATGCACGCAGGCATTCAAATATTTTATTAAATACTTGCATAGATAAAAGCCTCCAGATTCCATATTGCTTCAGAAGGAATTGGTCTTTCCTCCCAGAAGGCAGAGGAAAAGTCTAGGTCACCTCGTTTTTGGGACCTCTCAGCCTCCTGCAGTCTCCAGGTACAGGCAGAAAAAGAAAAGCCAGCCCCAGCTCTCCATGAGGCCAGGAACTGCCCCCTCTACGCTGGTTTGTCTAGTCAGCTTCTTCAGAGCCCTTCGAAATGCTGCTCCTGCCGGAGTTGGTTCAAACTCTGAGCTCAATGCCAGGAAGTTTTTCCTAAGATCCAGGCTGCATGTTCCCTTTAGCCCGCTCTGCTTCCTTATGTCCCATCCTTCTCTTTTCCAGATTATTCCCCCAGCCAAGACCGTGGTACCTGGTGTGAGTACTACAGGGGTGATGGCACTGTCACAGCCCACGCTGCTGCCCTGGTTCCCATCACCAGTTCCCTAAGTGCTTTTTGTAATTAGCATCTTCAAGCCATTGGTGAAGGCCAGCTCCCTTGCTTGGAGGATCTTTCCGGGCGCTGCTCTGAGCTCTCTCGGGGCTCCTGGCCAGTCATACCAGGATATTGTGATGTCCTTGCCCTTGGCAAAATGTCTTGGGCATTTGATTTTTACTACAGCTACATCTTAGGGTGAACTGCTGCCCAAAGCTAGGCCAGCCCCAAGGCGCCCGAAGGTCTCTGAGGACATCACTGCTGTCTTGCCTCCTGCCAATGGCTCTATGCTGCTTTACTTGCAGTTTTCAGAGAGTCTTTGGTTTATCCTTCACCTGATTCATTACCTTCCTCAGTGGACAGTCCCTCTTCGTGGCTCCTGTTTTGACACCACATGTGCCTGCACTCACTTCTCCTTCTGCTTTTCAGTGAGGATCTCACTTTGAGGTGGTTGAAAACATGTCCTTGCCTTCGGTCTTGTTGCTGGCCCTGACCACCTTCTCCTGCCCAGATATTACCTCCACCGTTGGCTGGTAATTCTTATGGCCAAGTCTTTTCCAGCTGCTCTCATGGAGACCTCTGGACCCACAGGCACCTTGGGTTTGTGTGTAGAACCGTAGAAACATTAAGGTTGGAAAAAACCTCTGAGATCATCAAGTCCAACCGTCAACCCATCACTACTATGACCACTAAACCATGTGCTGAATGCTTGGGAGAAAGAGATGCAACGTGATAGAATGGACCTAATGTGGTGGGTGTGCCTTCGTCTGACTGCTGACCATGGTCACCTTCTCTTCTGGGAAGACAGTAAGGAGGCAAAGGGCTGTGCAGGGGCAATATGGGGAAACTGAGGCATGAAGAAATGTCTGAAGGGCAGACCTGGGGGTTGTGGTAGAGTCAGGAGCTGATTCACAGCTCCTGGCCTTGCTCCAGGCCTGATTCCTTGGGCATGTTGCTCAAATTCTGTTTCTCCTCCTCATTTTCTGGTTTTTTTTTTAATTAAGCTGTAAAATCAGCTATTTTGGCTAATCATTGCTGCGCTCGCTTCCTGTTTTACTGCTGCTTTTTTCTTCCTCTCTGTAAAGGTAGTGCCTCATTGCTTTATTCCAGGTACCTAAAACCTTCTCAAGTTTCCGTAACTCTTGAAAAATAATTGCTTGATAAGCTTAGAGTAACCCTTTCTCTTAGCGTGCTTGTGGACTTCATCCTTGCTAGTGGCTTGTGGAGAGCATGGGCTCACGAGCCGTGGAATGTATCCACCTCCCTTTCTGCAAGATCTGAACTTGGAAGGTGGTTCTTTCTTTTTTTTCCCCAAGTTTCCACGTGTTTTTTCCCTCATCAGGGATTGATTTTAGAGACCTGCACATCCATCCTAGCAAGAGATGAGAGGAGGGTAATGCTCAGGACTGTGTGAAGGGGCTCCTGCAGGTTTTGTCTGCTCCTGCGCTGGGAATGTTGGTGATAGCGATAGCTGGAGTGGGTTCAGAGGAGGTTGCAAAAATGATGAGAGGGTGGAACTCCTCTGCTATGAGGACAGGCTGAGAGATTTGGAGTTGTTCAGCCTGGAGGAGAGAAGGCTCCAGGAGACCTTATAGCAGCCTTCCCATAAGTAAAAGGGACCTGTAAGATGGGGACAATCTTTTTAGCAGGACGAGGGGCAACGGTTTTAAACTAAAGGAGAGGAGATAAAGATTAGATATAAGGAAGAAATTTGTTACAATGAGGGTGGTTAAACACTGGCCCAGGTTGCCCAGAGAGGTGGTGGATGCCCCATCCCTGCAAACATTGAGTCAGGTTGGACGGGGCTCTGAGCAACCTGATCCAGTTAAAGATGTCCCTGATCACTGCAGGGGGTTGATCTAGATGACCTTTAAAGATGCCTTCCAGCCAAATGCATTCTATGATTCTGAGATTCTATGAAGAATGACACTGTTGTTTCCTGCTGTTGTCAGTTATCAGAAAGGTCAGGTACTGTCTGGAGCTGGCTATGGGGTGGATGAGAGTTTTTTCCAATGGATCGCAGCTCGGGCTGCCTGGAGGGTCTGACTGCATGGGATGCAGGTTTTCCATGTGTTGTTTCAGTATTGTTGAGAAAGATGTTTTCAAAGTGGTTTCTCCTTAAACATCAACAGTTCCCTGTGATCTCTGCTAACACAGCTAGCAGAAGGAATTGAATTTGCTGCGGCTCATGAACCTTGTTGCAGTCAATCCATAGTTCAGGAACTGGCGTCCTGGGTTTCAAGTGATCAGGATATTTAAGGAAATATTTCCCATGGACACAGGGCTTTGCTGTAGCTCTTGCTGCTGTAGTGTCAGAGGAGGGGAAGCAGCAAGGAGGGCCAAAGGGCTCAGAGCTTTTGCACACCAACGTGGCAATCAGCACATGGGAGCATGAGGTCATCCCACCCCAGCTCCTGCTGTGCTCCCAGCTCTAACTGAGACAGAGCTCAGGCGCTTGCCCGTGAGATGGGCAAGAGGACGGCATGCGTTCAAATCCACTTACCCCTCAGCACAGCCTCCCCGTGCCGGTGTCTGACCAATGCCTCCACACCGTGAAGGGGGTCAGCCACCACCGAATCACGGCCCCCTCTGGCCGGCTTGGCCAGAGCTTCCTTTTGAGGGGGGGTTTTGGTGACAGCAGATCCCTGCCTGCTTAAAAGCCAGGGCCCTCCTCTCCCTGCTGGCTTTCCAGTCCTGGAGTGGGAGCCCTGGTCGGTGTTTGGCCGGTGAGGGGGAGCGCTGGCAGCGAGAGCTTCTGTGCCCCTGATTAGCATTCGGCCCCGCTGCTTTGGCGCTGGTGCTCGCCATTGCCTGGCAACCACGGAGCAAAACTACAACAGCAGACGCGGAGCCCCAGC